TTTTACCAATTATATATTTGTGGAATAATAGTAGGATGGTTCAAGATTGCATCATTGTATTTACAAATCCCAGAGAATCTGTGGCATCTAGAGAACAGGGATGAACATTTTTACCTGTCCTTCTTTGAGGTACTTATGTGATTACAATGAGTGAAAGAGCTTCAAGGACTAAGTTTTGGACATAGTTTTCAACCACAGATTCAAGCATTAAATAGAACATGGCCAACTAATATACAGGTGAAACTCGAAAAATTAGACTATTGTGCAAAAGTTCATTTATTTCAGTAATGCAACTTAAAAGGTGAAACTAATATATGAGATAGACTCATTACATGCAAAGCAAGATAGTTCAAGTCGTGATTTGTCATAATTGTGATGATTATGGCTTACAGCTCATGAAAACCCCAAATCAGCAATCTCAGAAAATTAGAACATTACATGCAATCAATAAAACAAGGATTGTACATAGAACAATATCGGACCTCTGAAAAGTATAAGCATGCATATGTACTCAGTACTTGGTTTGGGCCCCTTTTGCAGCAATTACTGCCTCAGTGTGGCGTGGCATGGAAGCTATCAGCCTGTGGCACTGCTGAGGTGTTATGGAAGACCAGGATGCTTCAGTAGTGGTCTTCAGCTCTTCTGCATTGTTCAGTCTCATCCTTTCTCTTGGCAATGCCCCATAGATTCTCTATGGGGTTCAAGTCAGGCGAGTTTGCTGGCCAATCAAGCACAGTAATCCCACTGTCATTGAACCAGTTTTTGGTGCTTTTGGCAGTGTGGGCAGGTGCCAAGTCCTGCTGGAAAATGAAGTCAGCATCCCCATAAAGCTCATCTGCGGAAGGAAGCATGAAGTGCTCCAAAATCTCCTGGTAGATGGCTGCGTTGACCCTGGACTTAATGAAGCACAGTGGACCAACACCAGCAGATGACATGGCTCCCCAAATCAACACAGACTGTGGAAACTTCACACTGGACTTCAAGCATCTTGCAGTGTGTGCCTCTCCATTTTCCTCCAGACTCTGGGTCCTTGGTTTCCAAATGATGCAAAAGTTACTCTCATCAGAAAAGAGGACTTTGGACCATGAGCAACAGACCAGTTGTTTTTCTTTAGCCCAAGTAAGACGCTTCTGACATGTTTGCTGTTCAGGAGCGACTTGACAAGAGGAATACGACATTTGAAGCCCATGTCCAGGATCCGTCTGTGTGTGGTGGGCTCTTGATGCACTGACTCTCAGTCCACTCCTTGTGAAAGTCCTCAACACTTTTGAATGGCCTTTTCTTGACAATCCTCTCCAGGCTGTGGTCATCCCTGCTGCTTGTGCACCTTTTTCTTCCACACTTTTCCCTTCCACATAACTTTCTATTAATGTGCTTTGATACAGCACTTTGGGAACATCCAACTTCGTTTGCAATTACCTTTTGTGGCTTTCCCTCCTTATGGAGGGTGTCAATGATGGTTTTCTGCACAACTGTCAGGTCAGCAGTCTTTCCCATGATTGTGATTCCTACTGAACCAGACTGAGAGACCATTTAAAGGGCCAGGAACCCTTTGCAGGTGTTATGGCTTAATTAGCTGATTAGAGAGGGACACTTAGAGCCTAGAATATTGAACCTTTTCACAATATTCTAATTTTCTGAGCTTGTGGGTTTGGGGTTTTCATGAGCTGTAAGCCATAATCATCTCAATTATGACAAATCACGGCTTGAACTATCTTGCTTTGCATGTAATGAGTCTATCTCATATATTAGTTTCACCTTTTAAGTTGCATTACTGAAATAAATGAACTTTTGCACGATATTCTAAGTTTTCGAGTTTCACCTGTATATGGATAAAGAAAAACCCAAAGCTCTTGCTTATTTAGAATAAAGTATTATAAGATAGCACTTTCTATTTGATATATCCCCCCCCCCCTTTTTTTTTTTTAAACTAAGGAAAATTGCTTTTCTGGCTGATTAAAATGTGGTTTAGGTTAGTTGATTTTTTTTTCTCTAAAGGAAAATTCCCAGAGGCGTATGATGGAAATAGTGAGGGTGTGTTGTGATGATATGCCTTTGAAGCAACTTATTTTCTAAATGATGAGGATCTACTCCATAGGAAGGGATTCCCACTTCTAAATGCAGCATTCCCTTTTTTAGGTGTATGTTTGCCTTTAAACTCGGTCTTCAGGATCTGCCTCAGTCGGTGGCCTTTTTCAGCGCTGTAGATATTGATCATTGTTTAAGGAAAGAGGCGACAATGGATTGTGTCACCCCATCTAACCCAGGAGGACTGGAACAAAGCTACAATGTCTCCCAAGGTGTTTATCAGATTGTTACTGATTTTCAAAATCAGGCTTGACAAGAATTCTGTCTTTCAGTTGCTGGATAATAGCACTAGCAATAGCACTTAGACTTATATATCGCCCTCTCTAAGCAGTTTACAGAGTCAGCATATTGACCCCAACAATCTGGGTCCTCATTTTACCCATCTTGAAAGGATAGAAGACTGAGCCAACCTTGAGCTAGTCAGGAATCAAACTACTGGCAATGTGAGCGGAATTAGCCTGCAATACTGCATTGTAACCACTGGGAAAGGAAGGAAGGAAGGAAGGAAGGAAGGAAGGAAGGAAGGAAGGAAGGAAGGAAGAGCACTTAGACTTATATACTGCTTATAGTGCTTTTACAGCCCTCTCTAAGTGGTTTACAGAGTCAGCATATTGCCTCCACAATCTGGGTCCTCATTTTATTTACCTCAGAAGGATGGGAAGGCTGAGTCAATCTTGAACAGTGTGCTGTCCCAGCCAGTCTATGGGAATTGGATAGTTACTTAGGATTTATGAGCTGTCCCCTTAAGGGAATGCATCATGGTAAATGTAGTTAAGGTATCCTGGGAAATGTAGTCCATATCACGTGACCACATCTGTAATCCTGATTGGTCATTAAATTGACCCTTGAGGGGTTGGGGGGAGTTTCCCTCACTTTTGCCTGAACTCCCTAACTCATGGGAGCTGCTTTCTATCGCTACAAGATGGGTTAGGAGATAACCATCTTTTACTACAAGGCAGATATACAAAGGATTGGTCATTAAAGAAGAACTTCATCACAAACGTGAGTTATGAGGATACCTGATGAACCAATAAATGTAAGTTGTTATGGACGTCTTGTTGAGTTATTTATCTGCATCTGTACAGCTTCAAATCCACCTCTGTGCAGAAGGCAGAAAAAGCAGGTTAGGATCGAACTGCTGGCAGCCAGCAGAGTTAGCCTGCAATGCTGCATTGTAACCACTGCGCCACCATGGCTCTTCCTTCCTTCCTTCCCACTTAGCAATAGCACTTAGACTTATATACCGCTTTACAGTGCTTTGCAGCCCACTCTAAGCATGTTTAGAGTCAGCCTCTTGCCCCCAACAATCTGGGTTCTCATTTTACCCACCTCGGAAGGATAGAAGGCTGAGTCAACATTGAGTCCGTCAGGATCAAGCTCCTGGTAATGTGAGCAGAGTTAGCCTGCAATACTGCATTGTAACCACTGGGGAAGGAAGGAAGGAAGGAAGGAAGAGCACTTAGACTTATATACTGCTTTATAGTGCCTTACAGCCCCCTCTAAGCGGTTTACAGAGTCAGCATATTGCCCCCACAATCTGGGTCCTCATTTTACCCACCTCAGAAGGATGGAAGGCTAAGTCAACCTTGAGCCTGGTGAGATTTGAACTGCCAAATTGCAGGCAGCTGGGTGCAGCAGAAGTAACTTGCAGTACTGCACTCTAACCACTGCACCACAGAGGCTCCTATAATCCTATATAATGAGAGGTTGTAAACCTTTTTCAGCCTGGAAATCAGCTTTGTACAAGGCTTCTGACATCCTCAGGATCAGTTTGGCTATTAAGACTTTGCTCAGGAGTATTCCTTAAGGAGAAACCCAAAATGCATGCATGAATTATCATGTTTTCTGCAACAGGGAGGGAAAGTATTAACTGAGGATAGTATCTTCCCTTACATTCTCTGACTGAACAGGATACTCTTATGCATGACTAGGTAGAAATGAGAGGCATTTAAATTGAAGGAGCCTGAATATTTGGGTAACAGGATATAAGCATTTTATTTTATTTTTCCACAGAAAGATACTTACTTTTTAAGAAGCCTCCTATTCTAATAATGGAAGGAACATACAAATAGCAGGGCTGTCTGAAATTGCTTTCCCAAGTTAATGTGCACTTTTAAAAGTATATAGTTGTTTATGTTCAGAAACACGGTTAACAATTGCTGTACCTAATGTGACAGTTTAAGAAACCAACACAACATTATGCATTTTATTGAATTGTTAGAGGAATACTTTGCCAAAGTAAATGAAGAAAGTTCAGCTAAGCCCCAACTCTAGCATATTATCTAAATATATTCATAGTATCTGTAGTTTCTGATCAATATAAGGAGAGCTTGAATTAAATGTTTTAATCTGCTTGCTCTTTCCTGCCTTAAATAAACCCCTGCCTGGGCCAGGATGTATTTAGGAGCAAAAATCTTCAAAGATTCCAGCACACAAATCTTTACAAATTAAGTTTTAACTTTTGTACGTTTTTAATAAGCACAGAAATGATTCTCTGAAACTTCATTCTTGTTAATTTCTTACAGGGGAAGCTCTGGATATATACAAACTTATTCAAATAACAAAAGGTTCCTTGGAAAAGGGAAAATGAAATTTGATTTTAGAAGCTAACCGGTCACACTTCTTCCCAGGGGGATCCTCCAGAACCTCTTGGTCATGGAAATCTGCTTTTTCTTCTTACTCCAAGTCAAAAGGAGGAGAACAGGCATCTCCAAGGACTGTGGCTCTCATGGCCAACATGGTGGATTAGAGACCAAAAGGAAAAGGTGCAAATTCAATGTGCCTTATGGGGACAGGCCACGGACAGATCATCAGCAGGTTGCTGATACTGCAAGCATGAAGATTCTATGTGCAAAGGATATGGTGAAGAAACACTTTTCTAATAAACTGTAGATTATTTGAAAAAGATGGCATCCTTGTAGATGTTAAAAACAGTGCAAAGCCAGGCATTTGAGAAGAAAAGGGGCAGCTCTCATTTCTTTCGTCTTTTTTTCTTGGGTTCTCTGCTGGTGTTTGACTGGGCAGATGCAATGCTCTGGAAGAAATAAAAACAGAGCACATGGAAAACCCCACATTAGCCAGCGAATGACTGAAATAGTGCAAGCCGTATAATCAGCTAGTTAACCAAACTAGTTACATCTGTTGTACAAATCTCCCAAACATTTTGGAAGGGTTTTTTGTTTTTGTTTTGCCTTTGTTAAGATATGTTTCAAGGGAAGAAACAGAAGAGAACGATGGTAAGGATGGAGAGCCTGCAACAAAATGTTTCGCGATTCTGTTTTATTTATTTATTCTTAAATTAAAAGTACTCATGGAAGCAAGAACATGGCTAGTCTTTATTCCTGCTCCCAAACACTAGCAGTGTGGAATTGACCTTTTACTTTTGAACAGGACTACTAGAGTGGTTGCCATGTTCCATCAATGGTTTGTTTTTAAAACAAGCTGCAGGACACTAGAATTATTTAAACTGATGTTAGCACGCATGGGATTGATACTCATACAAACTTCGCAAGGAGAATTTAAAGAGAAATAGATTGCTGCTGTCATCAAAATAAGGATCCTTTGGTGTGTTCCATCAGACTATAAAGAAAACCCCTGGAGATGAGGAGCACATTTGAAAGTTTGGGGCCTTAGTGGGAGAACAGTCACAAAGTGGCTTCCAAAATGTAATGTCCCTGTCCTCTACCAGCAGCAAGAACGTTTGTGGAGCCCAATTTGCATTGTTGCAAATTGGAAGGTGCTCTGCCACACTCCTTTTTCAATGTACAGGTAGTCCTTGACTTAAAACATTTCATTTAGTGACTGTTTGAAGCTTCAGTGGCACTGAAGAAAGAGGACTTACAATCATTTTTTTCACACTTAAGGCCATTGCAGCATCCCAATGGGATTAAAGTTTTGGTGCTTGGCAAGTGGTTCATATTTATGACGGTTGCAGGGTCACATGACCCTTTTGCAAACTTCTTGCTTTTATATTTTGTATTAAGTTATAAAGTATTGTAAAATACAGAATACAAAAGTAAATAAGAGGACAACGAGGGAGGGGGAAGAAAAGTGAGGAAAGATAGGGAAAGGAAAAAGCATTGACTTCCCCCTCTCTCTGTTACAGTAGAATAAGGCATTTTTACAAACTTCTCACAAACAAAGTCAATGGGGAAGCCAGATTCACTTAACAGCTGTGTTACTAACTTAACAATAGCAGTGATTCACTTAACAACTGGCAAGAAAGGCCGTAAAATCGAGCAAAATTCCCTTAACAACTCTTCTTGCTTAGGAACAGAAATTTTTGGCTCAATTGTGGTTGTGTATCGAGGACCACCTGTATATCATGACAATAACCTTTTAAAAGGAGGTGTGTAGGCATCAAGGGAGGGAGTTTTGGAGGCAGGTGGGTGACCCCAGGCACCACATGGTCACCTGTCCTGCAAACTGACCTCATCTTGGTCTGGCTCGTCCTCCGCATCCTGTTCTTGTAGGACATTTTCTACGGTAGATACATTGATTCGGAAGTCCCGGGAAGCACTTAGTTTCATGTATTGCATTAGGTTAACCTGGAACAGCCAGAGGTCAGGCAATCGTTTTACAAAATGTTTACACCAGCATTCAAAGCATTGAAAAAAAGTCATCACAGTCAAATTTACACTTCGGTTATGTGAGTTACGGTTGCTGTAAGTGTATGGATCAAGTATGATTTCACCAAAAATTCGCATCTGAATAAAAACACACTGTTTGAATTTGGTTTGTGAGACAAATATTTCACCAGAGGGCTTCATACGAAGACCTTTCTCAATCACATTGAATTCTAACGGACCTAAAACATACCAGATGTTATTTTGAAGTGGGGTAAAGAGCTGAAATTGCTTATTTTTCATTTGAAAAATAATTAACATTTTGAATTTGGAGGCAGGGCTAATGTATCATTAAGTGCACAGACTTCAGAGTGCAGCATAAAAGATACACTACCTTATATCATAATTGCCAGTATTATAAAAAGGAATTCCTACATTTGAAAAATTAAACCTTACCTTTGACTTTTTCGAGAGATGGATCAGAAAATTCTCATATTGTTCTATGGCGAAAACCAAGTTTGGAATTGGTTTAGTCTCCCGCAATACTTTAGCCTACGGATTCCAAGAAAATGAGCATATTAATAGAAAATAACACATTATTACTGTTTAGGATTTTATCTGTTTATACCCATCTCATAACAAGTGTCACCAAACAGCATCCAACAAAGAATTTTCATGGGCCAGAAGTTAGCAAAAGTAGAACAAATTAAAGAAGTACTGTATTTTGAGATCGAAATAGAGCAGATGATATTAAATAGCTAAGCAAGTTTTAGTTACGAAGGATTTTTTTGAAGCAACAAAGCAGTATACTGTTGGCTACACTAGTTTCACATTTATGCAAATAAGAAACATGGAAAGATTTTAAATATTCTAAACTACACTATTACCATCACTCAACTGAATCAAATCTTCACACAGACATCTTATGTAACTAGAATCTCTCTGCTGACAGAAGCACAATAAAGTCTTCTGTCCAAGCATCAACCATGTTAAATCCACCCCATTTTCTCTTACATTTATTGTGCACAAACACACCAATTGTTTCTGGTTGTGTGAATATCTCCTTTTCCTAGATGTTTTAGAATGCAAAAATGTCAGGAATCACTGTGGGACAATGGTTTAAACGCACTCCTAAGATTTACATGAAAGAAAATATTGAAGATCAAATTTTAATTCAGCCTGGCTTCAAAGAACTACATAAATATGAAAAATTAACCATGCTTACCATAACAGCGGATTCCTCTCCCTTTTTGTCTTTTTTCTTTTTTTCGATTGCAGAGGTCAGGGTTTCACGTTGGACATTCTGTAGAAAACAAAAATTACATTAGGAAGGCACATTTTTAATGAGTCTGGTGGGAATAGAGCAGCTGGGTACATGAGTCTCTAAGCGGTTGACAGAATCAGCCTCTTGCCCCCAACAATTTTGGGTCCTCATTTTACCCACCTCGGAAGGATGGAAGGCTGAGTCAACCTTGAGGATCGAACTGCCAAACTGCAGGCAGCCAGCAGTCAGTAGCCTGCAGTACTGCACTCTAACCACTGCGCCACTGTGGCTCATATAGAATGTTAATCCTCAGCTTTTAATATTGCAACATCCACAGATATATTTGGATTGCCACCAGCTTCCCATCCCTACCAGGTGATGCTCAAACTCAAATCCAATTTGATTCAACAAAGTTGCTGCGTCAGCACTCCTCTTTGTAAGTTAATAGTAGCTTCATCTGGGACTAGAAATAAGAAATGGAGCACATTGTCTCACCTGTACGTATGTAATGAAGGCATAGCACTGGGGAGTCATGTGGGAACCAGACAGTCTAACCTGTAGAAACAAAGGAGTGATAGTTATCCTGAGAGTTTCCCTTCTACGATCTCCACAGAATCTCCATTTCTGCCTGACCCGATATTTATAATGGTGCCTAATCATGATAGGCATTGTGCATGGTGAGCAATACTCACCAGTTTCTCAAATCGTCCTGGAATCCCTCCAGTTGTGTTTCGACACACTTGGAGATACTAGGAGACAAATGCAAGAGGTTGTGTCTGAGTGATAGGACCGTCTTACACTGTGAAAGAATATCTATGAACGTGGCCTAGGGAAGGGAGCAGTGGTGCATGGAGAAAAGATTACCCAGAAAGAGGACAATGTGAGAAAGAAACTCAGAATAATATTGCCTTTACTTTGCTTGATATAAGGCGGGATAGAGAGAAACTCTGATTGGTTTTCAAGATTGATGTCAACAGTTTGAGGTAGGCAAGGCCAAGAAATAGCATGGGAGGCAATCAAGAATACATGTTATTGTTGCAGATGGAGTAACAGAATCTTGCCCCTTTCCCCAGGTAAGGAACATTGTTTCTCACTAATCCAACTCAAATCAACATGTCTTTATATAAATATTACTAGCCTCATACCTGTGCTTCGCTACAAAACTATGTGGTTGGGCATAGTTTTGGGGGAGGAAAATAAGGGGAAGAAAATTGTGCCTCTGCCTTCCAGCATCCATCGGTATTCATCTGGCTAGCATCCTGCCAGTGTGTGAGAGTTGAGGGCTGTTTGGAAACGTGGCTTAGCTCAACTGTTCTTTACTAAAGCTGGTTGCTGCTGTGAAACTAAAACTGAAATTCCTCTGCTTGTGTTTTGCATTTGGAACAGATTTCTTTTCAGGTGGGGAGGGGAGAGTAGAACTCCTTAGCATCAGAGCATGTTAATAATAATATACGAAATACTGATGCTCTGATGATCATTTCGAAAAATCCTTTCTTAGTGAGCACCTAGAAGCCAAAAGGAATATACATGCCAAATTTCAAGTTTGTAGGCTTTACGGTTCTGGAGATTTTGTAATGATGCGTGAGTGGTATTTCACTTTATATATATATATATATATATATATATATATTCCTGGGCCTTATAGCAGGCAACTCCATTCTAGTGTCTGAATAACTTTGGCAGATACCACTTAGATTCAGAACCTTCTTAGGAATAATCCTATGGGAATTTTCTGCATGATCAGTTTTTCCCCCTACTTCTCGGCATAACAACTGTCTACATTTTAACTCCCTTTGAATAATGGAAATCTGGTAACTCTGTCTTTACCCTTCCAGGTCAGTAGCACTCACATATTTTACAAGTGTTGTGAGAATGGCATACATCTTGCTGAGACTCCTAAGCAATGTGTCCACACAGCTCCCTGTGGGTAAGGCTGTTTGGACCAGCTCGTGGTAGGCGGTCAGCGCAGTCCCAAGCTGTAGAACAACAGCCTTCTCTAGAGGTTGAGTTTGGTTTACGGCTTGAGAGGCATTTTCTAGTTTTAAAAAAAAAAGGGAGAAAGTTACATTCAGGTCACAAATGATAAGGTCTGAATGCTCTAGGATTGTCTGCTTTGGATGGGAGGATCTTTTTTTCTCTTAAAGATGTGGTTCAAGTAGGCTTAAAGTTCTGTAGAGATTCTCAGTTATCCAGGTCATGGTTGTCCCAAAGATGCTTTTTCAGGAGGCAACTGGACTTTCTGGATTTTCTTTAAAAAAAAATTTGCTTTTCATCCAAGAAGCGTCTTCAGCTCTGATAGGATAGTCTTCAAAGAAAAAAACAAGAAAGTCCAGTTGTCTCCTGAAAAAACATATTTAGTTCAAGTAGGCTTCTAACTCATGGTAGAAGAGAGACTGTGACTCTAGGTTTCCTTGTCCCTGAATCCCTCAACTTTTCCATTTTTAGAGATATTTGTTTCATCATCAAAATTGGGTGCGATGGTTAGTTTCCTGCTATTTTGAGCAAATACGGGAAAACTGTTATGTAAGTTTTAAAACAAGAATTCATTAGATCCAACATGTGGCTGTCATTATGTTTATTGGATCAAGCCAGTCAGAAAACATCAATCTTCGACTGCATCTTTCTTAGACTAAAAAAAACAACAGAGAATAAAATAGGCTGTGGTAATGCTGAATAAAATTATGCAGAATGTTCAGAAAACAGGGAAGATCTGATCTACACATCTGGAGGCTCCCTTTCACTCCGTGAAGATTAAACTGGCACAATTTTGTGATCAGCCACATTTCTACTCCCTTATCTCATATCTTTTATTCCTGTTGACCACCTAAAGGTGTCAAACGTTTTCCTTGTGACATTTTTTTTCTCTTTATAGTCAAAATGTATAGCCGGAATCTCTTCTGAAAAGGAGGATCTTAATATACCTAATCATATGAGCCATGGTGGCACAGTGTTTAGGGTGCAGTACTGCAAATTACTGCTGGCTGACTGTAAATTTGGCAGTTCAAAGCTCACCAGGCTCAAGGTTGACTCAGCCTTCCATCCACTGAGGTGGGTAAAATGAAGATCCAAATTGTTGGGGGCGATATGTTGACTCTGTAAACTGCTTAAAGAGGACTGGAAAGCACTGTGAAGTGGTATATAAGTCTAAGTGCTATTGCTATCTACTTGTTTAATCTGACAAAAGTAGGGGCTCATATTTTGCAAATACCAAGATAAAGTTCTAATTATATTAATTTGAAAGTTGAGGCTCTTAGACTTCTTTAATGGTCATAGTTTGGCTTTCCACAATGGCAGTCACTTCTGACATAAAGCAGGCAATTATCCAAACATTTCACAGAGGTCCTTCATAAATATTACCTGCTGCCTCAGATCCCAAATAATTTTTCATCTTGTTGATCAGCCAATCTACCTCTTCAAGGATCTTGTCTGCTTGACTCAAAACCATTAACTTAGAGAGAAAGAGACAGAGGTTGAGACAGCTTAATGCCACGTAAGTACAAGCAAAGTGCTGTAGAATGCTCTCTTCTAAAGTAGCATTATTCATGTTTCAGTCATTGCATTCTTTAAGTTGGATCCCAATATAACTTACACAAGCTGTAGGAGCTGCAGTCTTTGAGTTCACAATGGCAAAGTGACATTGATGTTCCATTTCAACATCCTGTGAATATTAACAGAATTAGAGGTGTTAATTCAGATGTTTGATTTCTATTCCACTATCTTATCTTCACTACAACCCTATAAAAGATAGAATTAAAGTAACTGGCCCAAGATTTCTTTCTCAGCTTTGTTGAGAATTTGAATTTTATCTCTCTTGAATCGAACAAAACTCCTTTTTTAAAAATATCTTATTAATTACATTTTTATGCCACCCATTCTCCCTATAACGTAACTCTACTGGGAGGATTTGCCACTTCAAGAATCCCATTAAAGGTTAAATAAATTGATCAGGTTCCTAATGGGTTGTTTTAATCATGGCTTATTGATATAGTAAAACCATGGCAACTGGCACAATATGTTGAGCTGCAAGCTAGCTTCATGCTTCAAATGCCCAGTATCAAATCACATTACAACTTAGCTTGAAAGGGAAAATGTTAGATTATCTTTGCCCTGGCAAATGCATCAACCTTAAAGTCCACCTGGTCTTCCTCACCTGGTCTATGTCTCCCAGCTGAGCATGAATGTCTTGGGCAAGATCACGCAGTACGGTGACTGGGCTTTTAACAAGAGCATGCAGTGTGAAAAGCAGAGAGAGTAAACCTTTGCAGCAAGGAGCATCTTCTGCAGAGAAAGAGAAAAAGCTCTATCAACAAATTTTGAAAACATCTGAATGTGGCTAATCCAGCCTCGCTCATCTTCAGAGGCATAAACTAATCACTCTCTTGTACACAGTTCGATTGTTCTGATTTTAGTGGCTTGTATGTTATTTTATTTTATTATTTTATTTTGCTATAAAGTCCTCTGAGTATATTCAAATAAGACTGAGTGATTGGTTCATTGTGGAACCAGACATACTTCTATCTCTTTTTTCATCGTCATAATGAATTATGATCACTAATCAGGATTATCCATAATTGAAAGTTCCAATTTGGTTCCCACTAGCAAAAACGTTGAGGTAGTCACCATGAACATAATTGGCTTTAAAAGTGGGGCTAAAAGGCTACTGGCTCACTCACTCATATCAGGTGCTCAGCCAATGTCCGATCTGCGCTGGTTGCATGGAGGTACTGAGCAGCCCAAATTCACACTGAAGCAATTAACACTTACCCAAGCTAGTTTCCTTGCAAAGCTTCACTGTCCATGATAACAGCTGTACAAACTATGGAGAGAAAGCAATTTCTCATTAGTTGATTACTCCTCGGTCGGTTAAATTCAATTTTCAAGGAACAAGGCTCTCAGAGCAGCCACTTAAAATTAATAAAAAGAGTAACAGACAATTAAAACAGAGTCTTGAAAAAGGTGGTAGCCTTGGCAAGGGTAATATGACCACACTGACATTTAACACAGCAACAGCAAGTGAAACAAGTTATTATAGAGGTCTTTGGAAACTGTGGTTTTCAATAGATAGGTAGGTAGGTAGGTAGGTAGATGAAAGATAGGTAGGTAGGTAGATGAAAGATAGATAGATAGATAGATAGATAGATAGATAGATAGATAATAGATAGATAGATAGATAGATAGATAGATAGATAGATAGATAGATAGAT